TCTCTGAAGCCCCAGTGAGAGCCTTTGGTGAAAACCCCAACGACGTAATTCGGGTCCCCGGGGCCGCTGCACTCTAATACGATTACACATCCAAATGCAATAAACGCAGCAAAGCGGTATTATTTTTCTGGGAAAAACCAACATCATAAAAGGGTCTTTATTGAATCAAGGGCCCGGGAACTGTTCTCTTGCCTAATTATGGCTCCCAAGTGATGGAGACTGGGTTTCCAGGCAGGGGCCCTCAACAGTCCTCCAGCCCAGCGAGCAAGGGGATACTCGACACGACTCAATACGACACAACCCACCCAAAGGACCAGGGGGCGGGTGCCCAGGTAGGGTGGCAGCAGCCCGCTGCCCTCACATGCTCCGCCCCCTCCCTGGCTGGCCAGGGCCGACCAGCCCGCCCCACCTCACCCCTCATCGCTACAGAAAAGGCCCGTGGTCCAAACGCCGTATCTTGCCAGACGTTTGAACACTCAGCGATTCGGCCGAGGTTTAGTGTGCACCCAGACCTGAGCAAAGATGGCCATGGGGGAAGTGAGGGCGTGTGCCTGGGCCAGGGGAGGGCTCCCAACCTCCGGGCCATGGCACCCTTTCCCGCGTGCCCGTCCTAGCGAGCAGGGAAACACAGTGTTTGCACTCTCCAGCAGGGTGGGCTTGGGCTGCCTCACCATGGACACGGAGATACAGGGATGGGATTTATCTCTTCAAGGTTTGCTGCGGGGCCCAGCATCCAGGCCCCAGTGACCAAGGAGAAGCAGTGTGCTCCCTCCAACCCCACATCCCTGGGGCGGCAGCCCAGGGAGAGGAATACGTCCAGGAGCACGAACCACCCAGCCCTCCCAGCCGGAGCCAACTTTCCCCAACTTTAGTCTCTGAATGCCTCCCCGCCCCCACCCCCCTGCAACCAGAGCCCCAGGCCCCCACCGGCGCCCGCCCCTGCACCTCCTGGCTGGGACTCTCAGAAGCCTGGGAGGGCCACATTGCAGTCAGAGCAGCAGCCGGCCGCAGGAAGGAAGGGGGCTCTCGGCCCTGGGGCCAAGCTCACAGCTGGACCCACAGGCTCCCTCCTTGCCAGCTCCCCTGCACTGCACACACGGGCTCGGGCCACAGGGCGATTTTGAAATTCCCCAGACCGTGCCAAGGGGAGGAGGGCAGGAGCAGCCGCAGTGGGTGAGAAGTCACCTGCTCCCGGAGTCCCTTCTGTAAGCCCTGCCCCGGGGCCAGTGAGCCCAGCTGGAGGCTCTTAAAGCAGAGACATTAGGGACTATCCCGCTTCCCGTTTGAAACTCTAAATAAAAACATCACTGAGACATTAAAAAAAAAAAAAAAAGCAGTCCCATGAAATGGTGATTCCCAAGCTGCAGCACCTTCTGGAATATCAGCTCATGCCCCGCCTTCAATTCTGTTCCCTGCTCCACGGGGCCCAGTACAGTAAGCGTGGCTCACCCACTGGGTCAGGGCCAGAGCAGGCCCCGGCAGCTGCGGCCACACCAGTGCCCTTCCTGCGACCTTCCTCGAAACGTGCTCAGCGTCAGCCCAGTGGAGTCTTGGGGCTTTTCAGGCTGGTTGCACTGCACAGCGACAACCCAGGGTTCCCGGAAGGCTTCGAGCTGGCTCATCTACACCCATCCGACAGACTCCTGTGCTCCAGCTCAGTCTTGCTGGCTCCCAGCCAGCCAGGCTGCCCCAGCTGTGGAATCCTGGGAGAGTCCCCACCCCCTCTGAGTCTGTCTCCCCTACCCAGGGAGGTCTTGCAACACCCCTCCTGTGCTGTCAGAGCTGGGGTACAAATCCGAGTGGGCAGCGAGAGGCCGTGCCCATCTCACCACACACACACACCCTGGCACACAGTTAGGGGTCAGCAAAGGCAGGACAAGGGAAGGAACTCGCCCCCAGGGCCACACGCTAGCAGCCGCAGACACCCGCCAGACCCACAGCCTGGGTGTCAATCACAAACACGTGTGCCCTTGCTGATTCACCGTGGAAGCACCCAGACGCTCGGGCCTGCTGCTTTGTGCCAGGGACTGCACACCTGTTTCCACATAAGCCTTACCACACCCAGACAAAGTGGGGATCAGAACCCTCGTTTCACATAGGAAGACACTGGGGCACCGAAGTCACTTGGCAAACGCCATCCGGACTTGAGCCCTGGTACACGTGGACCTGCACTGCACCTGCACGGCCCTCACCCTGGGCTGCTGCGAGATAAAAACACATGGACACCAAAAGGACTCCTGGCTTCAGAGACAACTCTTCCAGGGACTTATCACAGGTCAGCAGGGCTGTGCTTCTGTGTCCAAGAACTGAGGCTGGCCAAATATTTACTGGCCCAACAGTGGACTCAACTCAGTGCGGTAGGGAGGGCCAAGCTGTTGCCAGACAGCAAGGTGGGGGAGGGGGGGTGCTCACCAGCAGGAGCTCCATGGAGGGGACAGGTACCCTTGGCCTGGGGGAGCAGGGCAGAGGCCTGGCACGGTTGGTGTCCAGTAAACCCCGGAGGGCTCTCCAAGGATCAGAACTTCCGGAATGCCTAGCGCCTGGAGCTGAGCGGGCTGGCTTCTCCCATTATCTCCTTTGTCATTCCAAGCCTGCTGGACAAAAATTCATCTCCAATTTTTCACGGGTTGGGATTTTATTTTTCTTAAAAACAAAAAAACTAAACTCAAAGGGTGAGGTTAATTATTCACCAGGTTGCAATACACTGAAGAGCTGAGGGAACGCAAGTTTCTTCCCAGGAGGCACAGCCTCCCGCCCAGCTGGAGCTCCCCGGGGCGGGGACCGGCTAAAATACCGCCCCCCCACCCGCCGCAGCCGACACCTTGCCTTTCCCTGCTTGCAGAAGGCGGCTCCAGGGCAAGCACTGTCCCTCAAAACCTGGAGGCAGGCAGCCCATCTCCGAAGGACGGATGGGGGTGGGCAGGGGGACAGGAAGAAGGCTCTCGCGCTCCAGGGAACCCCGAGAATTCAAAAGGGACAGCAGCTTCAAAAAGTTCTCAAGGAAAACACAATTCCTAAATGCAGCCTGCGGGAGGCCAGGCTACCGAGCCAGTGCTGCAAAGGAAAAACCTAATCACTCACTTCCCCCCGAAAGAAATGAAGCACCAAGTCATTTCCTAAAAATCCCTAAAACCCTGGCCAGCCCAAGAGACCAGGGCACCACGTAGGGAGCAGTGCGGGCCCCCCTCCTCGGGCTGCACCCAGGCCCAGGGTGCAGCGGGCTCTCCGTGCCACTCTCCGCACCCGTCCCCTCCAGGGTGGGTGCAACGCAGCCAGTGCAGCCTGCTTCTGTGGGTGGTTTATGGCCACACTGCATTCTGGAGACTTCCACCTCACTCGTGTTATACTCAGATCCCCAGGACCCAGAGCGACGCCGGTTGGGAGGGAGAACTTTGAGCATTTTTCTCAATGACCGCTCCCTCTAGCTCCACTCCTAGGTGGCTGTGTCTCAAAACCCGGAGAATGTGTCAAGATGCTTGGAAATCTACCCCACGATCAGTCACTCTTCTCTCTCCGGCAACTCCAGCATTCGCACATTCCACCGACCACAGCCTGCAAGACTAAGCCTGTGTGGCCAAGATTCAGGCCGCTGCAGGGCAGGGCCGGGCCCCTTCCTCAGCCCCCATGCCCAGCCCCACCCCCAGTGACCCCGCAGCTCCAGGCTCCCCTCTGCTCCGGCCCCCACAGGCCATGGGCTGGGAGGGCGGTGCCAGGACTAGACTACCCAGGGCCCACAGAGGTGCAAGAGCGTGCAGTGAAAGTCCCCTTGAACCGGCTTTGCACAACTTCCCGAGATGGGCCAATCTGGCCAGGCTGGTTTCTCCCGCTCCCTCCTCCCTGCTTCTAGAAACCTTTCCTGCCTTCCAAAGCCAAGAAGCAGCAGCCAGAGGCATCTGAATTTGTCAATTGGCCCTGGATACAGTTCAGGTCACCTCACTGCACGTCCCCAAACCTTTTTCCCAAGATCCCTCCACCGCCAAGTCAGGGCAAACACAACACAAACAAAATAACAAGTTCCAGCCCCCAAGCGGCTCCAGGGGTCGCTGGGGTTTCTCTGCCGGCAGGCAGAAGGCAACTCGGAGCACCAGGTAGGGCATTTAAGAAGGGAATTTCAGCGACGCTCAGCATTGTGTTGCATATATCAGCCAATAAAAGACTCCTAAAGAGCTCGGCCAGAGATGCACCTCTAAAGAAACCGTGGGGGAGGGGAGTGGCGAGGGGAAGGCAGGGGCTGACCCCCCACCTCCCACCAGTCCCACCTACCCAGGTGCCGTCTGGAAGTTCCCGCCTCCAGGCGCAGGGCTGCCGCCCGGGAAAGCACAGCAAAGCCGGGCGCAGTGACTGCGCCGGCCGCTCGAGGAGAGGGCGCCGAGGCGGGGACGCGCTGCCCACGGCGGGCACCGACCGCACACAACTGCCCGACTCACGTGAACTTGCAGGTGCGTGGCTGCTTCTCGTTCGCAGCAGCGCGCGGATTCCCAACCCCCCCGCGCAGGACCCGCGGCAACCGCACTTGGCCACCTTCTCCAGCGTGGGCCCCGTTTGCGTGGTATGCACCAGGGCCCCGGGAGGAAGCCGGCCCGGGGCGGAGCGCGGGGAAGACGCCGGTCCCGGCTAGCCGAGGACTGGGACTTTGTAGGCCAGTTGAACCGACACCCTCATCTCGCCCGCAAAGACCCAGCCCTCAGCTCCCGTCCGTCTCGGAGTGCGAGGTGCGGCGCGCCCCCGACGGGCTTCCTAGGGCTTGGGGCCGGTGCTCGGTGTTTGCCCCAAATGGCGTCCCCCCGGGGAAGCATGCCACTCCGCCAGACCTCGGGCTCCAAAACCAGCCCTCGAAGGGTTACACGACGCCGGCCACCCCGAGGGAAGGTGCTGCGGTCGGGGGGAGGGGAGGCTGCGCGGAGACCGCGCCTTGCACCCGAGCGCAAGACACACGCGCGAAATCTGGCCGCGCTCCCACGCCGCGCCCGCGAGGCCCAGCGCCGCGCCGCCGCCGTTACCTGCGTTCAGCTCGGCGGGGCGCGGGGCCGGGGCCCGGTCGAGCCGCGGGCGCCTCTCGCCGCAGGCCGCGCCCTCGCGCATGGACAAACCCGTGTCGCCGCTGGGGCACAGAGGGTGTCACCGCACACCGGGCCCCGACGTCCTGGACGCCCCGTGTGCGCCTGGCCAGGGGCTCGGGACCGTGGCCTCGCTCGCCCTGCTCGAGACCTGGGGGGCCCCTCCGCGGGCGGGGCGCGCCCAATGCAAGGCGAGAGGCGCACGGCGGCGAGACCCCTCGAAAGTCGGGGGGGTTCTGCCGGCTGGCGCGGCCCGACCTGGCTCCACGTGCTGGTGACACATCAGGAAGACTGCGCGCCCCGTGGCTCTCGGCGGGCGGACGCGGCCAGCGCCCGACTGCACCGCCTCCCCGAGCCGAGCGGACAGCGCCCCGCCCCGGCCCGCCCTCCGCCCGCCCCTCGGCGGCGCCGCCCCCGGGCCGCGACGCCCCGCTCCTGCCTGCGGCACCGGCGGGAAGGCGGCGGGCGGGGCTGGGGGCGACCCGGGCGCCCCTCTCCCGGGCTGCCCGCGCCGCTGCGGGGACGGGTCCGCACCTTGGCGGCCCGGCCCGACAGCCTCCGGTGCCTTCCTCCTGGCCACGCAGCCCTTCCCACCCCCCAGCCCCAGTAATTTTCCCTTTTCCTCTTTCGACCCGTCCGAGCCGCTGCCGCCGCTTCCTCCCGCGAAGCCCGGCGCGGGGAGCCCCCTGCCGGCCGCTCGGCGCCTGGGCCTCGCCCCGCCTAGTGCGGCGCGCCACCTCCCCACCTGGACCCTGGAGCCAGCCGGGCGCCCAGCGTCCTGCTCGGCGTGTTTGAGGTGTGAAGTTTTCGTTTTCAAATCCCGGGTCCAGTCGCCGGCAGATAACTTCCCGGCTGTGCTTTGAAACACCGAGCTCCCTTAAGGGGACAACGGGGTCTTCCCCAACGTTGGAGAGGCGTGGGAGGCCTGCGGGATCCCTTGTGTGTGGGTGGGGGCAGGCTGCTACCCCACTCTCCGGGGACACCAGGTCGTTGGGGACAGACTGCGTGTCGCACCTGAGACAGGCTGGCCGAGGTTGCAGACTCCAGCTGGGACAGGAGACGGTGATGGGGAAGGCACAGTGACCTCGGCTACTGGGTCCCCGCCTAACCGCGGGCAGGGCCTTGGAGTCACTCAAAGGAAATACGGAGCGTCGTCCACAGACCTTGACCACGTTCCCATCTTCTCTTCCCCTGGCCTCACTAACGCAAGTCATGCCCGAGAGAAAACCTCACCGCGGTGGAAGCCCGTCGGGGTCCTGGGGTGGGGTGGGCACATGGGCAGGAGCAGGTGCTCCAGGGGAACACAGCTCTGGAAGGGACAGAGGGCAGGTGGCCAGGCCCAGGCGGCGGGTGCCCGGAAGGGGCCCTGTAATCCCTGTTTTTGTGGGAGCCCGGGATTAGAAGGGAAGAAAGAGGAAGACTCGCTGACATTGCTGGCGGTGCTGCCCGGCCCGAGGGGGTCTCCAGTTCCCGCTCTGCTTTCTCTTCCTCTTTTATTGCTCTCTCCAAATCTGACAAACCCGTGGGCTCCGGGGGACTCGGGAGCCTGGAGGCGCTGGTGTCCTGGGGTGATGAAAGGGCAGGGATGTAATGGGTTTACCCTGCCACTGATCCCAGAGAAGCCAGCAGAAGATTAAGATTTGCTCCCTGGGCCTGAAATCCCCCTGCTCCCCCCTGACCACATCAAAGGATGTGGCGGTGGGAGGCGCCTAATCCTATCAATGGAATCAAAGCTGGACAAGAAAAGAAATTCTGCAAACTTGGGGCAGCCGCAAGACTGACGTGCAGCTCACAGGAGAGAAGCAGATAGGCAGACCCTGGAATTTATCTCCCAAGACAGGTCCTCCCAGCCAGCCCGAAAGTACACAGGGCCTGGCCTCTGCTTCTTAAGGTGGTCACTCAACCACTAGAGCCAGGCAGCAGCCTGGGCCTGCCCCCAGGGGGACAGGGACCCCTAGGCGTGCCGGGATGACAGAGTCAGGAAGCTGTACTTTGGCATAACAGCATCTGCCATTCCCCTAGGGGATGGTTTTAGAAAGAAAAAAAAAAGGCCATGTGTAGCTTTAAATGTAAACTTTATGAACATTGCTTTTCTAACGAGGCTAACATGGTTTGAGGGAGCCAACTCAAAGATGAGTATTTTGAAGCGGCATCATTGTGGTGTAGCCAGTAAAGCCACCGCCTGCGATGCAGGTATCCCCTGTGTGCCCTGGCTGCTCCACTTCTGATCCAGCTCTGCTAATGCGTCTGGGAAAGCAGTAGAAGATGGCCCAAGTCCTTGGGCCCTGCACCCATGTGGGAGACCTGGAAGAAGCTCCTGGCTTTGATCTGGCCCAGCCCATTCCGCTGTTTTCCCAGGCTCATTAGCAAGGAGCTGGATGGGAAGTGGAACGGCTGGGTCCCGAACCCTCGTCCACAAATGGTATTCTGATTGATGGGACCAAAGTGGTAACAGTAACGAGATTACTAAAGTCAGGAAAACACTCCTTACAACTGTCTTTCTCTAAAACAGTGCCTCCAACAGTGGCTCTCAAACTCAGTTATGCCCCATGACTGCAGATCCGTGTTTTTGTATATATGTGCATGTATGTGTGTGTATATATGTACACCCATATGTGGGTACACACACATGTAAAATAGCCTATGAAATAATTCTTACGCCTTCAAATATATACTTAGTGTTATTCTATGCTGTTCCGTTTTTAAAAGTGCTATTTGCGAACTGTGGAACTGATTTTAACTGTGGTCCTTTCTAAAGCTGGAGAAATACCGCTTCGTATACAACATGGCTGGATGCTGGGGGTAATAATGACAGCTCTCAGGGAAAAATCACCTCGTGGGGCAAGCATGGGCCACCGTGTGGGACCCCTGTGTCCAGTGTCTGAGGGCCAGTTCCAATCCTGGCACCCCCATTTATGTTCCAGTTGCTGGGAGATAGCACGTGATGGCCCAAGTGCTTGGGGGCCCTGCCAGCCACGTGGGAGACCTGGATGGAGTTCCAGGTACCAGTCACGGGCATTTGGGGAGTAGATCAGCAGATGGAAGAAATCGTCTCTCTCTCTTGCTCAGTTCTTTAAGTAGATGAAAGTAAATAAATTTAACAAGAAGAATAAATCATTAGGTGTGGAGACTGCACTCAGAGGTTCTGACAACTCCACAAAGCCCTGAGGACATAGGTATTTGTAGTAAGGACACTGCACCAATGGAATCACTGGTAGGGTCAAGGGTCCCTTGGTGGAGAATCTCAGACCTGAGGCCAGCCCTTTCCACACAAGCCCCTGGCCTGGTGCACTCCGCCGTGGCAGCCCACCTGACCTCTACCACAGCCGAGCCCCCACCCAGGGGCAGCCGGGCCTCCTAGTCCTTCCCACAATGCAGTCTCCCTTTGAGTCTGCTCCACGGCTTCTGCCCTTTCTACCTCCACAAGTGACTCCCAGGAGTCGGGCTCCTGGGCAAGCCATCCTCACTGCCCCTGAGGTAGGGGTGACAGGTGTGGTGTGACTGGGAGAGTCTTCATGTCCCTGCCACCTGCTGACCGGGTACATTTGCATGCGTAGGGAGGGTCAAGCCCTTGGGGCTGAAGACACTGCCCCTTTTCTCTGATTCCTCTCATTTTGGGTTCCTCCCTAGACCTCCCCTACTCATCCTATTATTGTTACAAAATTTTTTTTTAATTTAAAAGGCAGGGAATGTCAGGGAGGGAGGAAGAGAGGCAGGAGGAGAGAAGCAGAGGAAGAGAGAGAGAAAAATATTCCATTCAATACTCCCCAAATGCCTGCAACAGCCAAGGCTGGGCCAGGTGAAAGCCAGGAGCCTGGAACCCCAGCCAGGTCTCCCATGTGGGTGGCAGGGACCCACGCATCTGCACCATCACCTGTTGCCTCCCGGGATGCATGTGAGCAGGAAGGCTGAAATTGGGAGCGAGAGCTCAGCAGGGATTCAAAACCAGGCACTCCTTCCAGTACAGCACGTGGGCATGTTAACCACTGAACCAGACAATGGCCCATCTGTATTTTAAATTTCAGCTCCCTGCCCTGTCACTTATCTGCCAAGCCAGCTCCTACAGCCCTCATCCCCACTAATGTGTCATATGAAGGAACTTCAAAAAGTTGATGGAAAATTGAATGAAAAGATGTTTATTTTGGTGCAAGAAAAATTACAAAACCGTGACTACGTGGGGTCTGTAAGTTCACGGAAATGTGTATTATGAGGAAGCTATGGGGCTGGCATTGTGACGTGGCCAGTAAAGCCACCGCCTGCAATGCGGGCATCCCAGATGGTTCATGTCCTGATGCTCTGCTTCCAGCCCAGCCCCTGCTAATGAGCCTGAGAAGGCACTGGAAGATGACTCTCAAGTACTTGAGCCCCTGCCACCCTTGTGGGAGACCCAGATGGAGTTCCAGGCTCCTGGCTTTGGCCTGGCCCAGCCCTGGCTGTTGCAGCCATTTGGGGAGTGAACCAGCAGATGGAGCAAAGATGGAGGCTCACCTTCTAACTCTGCCTTTCAAATAAATAAATAAATAAATAAATCTTTAAAAAAAAAAACTATGCACAGATTTCATTATTTCTGCACCAAAATAAACATTGTTTAATTCTATTTCTTAGCAACTTTTTGGAGTGCTGTTGAATTTCACTCATTTGGGTATAGTGTGTCTCTGTGCTGCCGATTTCTCCCTCTGACCCCTGGACTCTTAAGCTTTGCGGAGCAGGGACTTCTCTTGGGTGCTCTGCCAGATCCCAGGGCCTGGCGCAGCGTGCACACCCAGTAAATAGCTGGATGCGTTGCAGCTGTGCACACGAGCCCCGCCCTGATGTGTGAATTGCACGGGTTTCCTCCCCCAAGGGCAGGGCTGGCATTTGACATTTACCATGGTCAGTCTGGTGCAGGAACTTGGCCCAGCATTTAATATTAACCCCATGTTATAGACAGCATCGCTCTCTGCCCGTGCTGAGCACGTGACAGTTCCCTAGCACTGCAGGGAGAGGAAGGCAGGCGTGAGCCAGCACCTTGGGTTTACAGACGCAGAACCTGTACTTGGACAAAGAAATGACTGGCCCAAGGCCCGCGCTCTCCTTTGTCCTCTGCACCTAGCTTCCTCTTCTGGGCTCTCCAGCCCATCAGATAGTGCGTGTGCGGTCAGGATGGGACTGGGCTCTTTCAGCTTCCTGTCATCAGGGAAAAAGACATGGAAAGTGTCGATGGTCCTGACTCCCTGCCCAGCCCCTTCAAGGCTGGGACAAGCTGCTGTCACAGCCACCTGCCTAAGCCCACCTGAGGAGTGCTGGGAAGGGGCCTGCCCTCTGCTCACGCCTGCTTCCCAGCCCTGCCGGGACAGAACAAGCATTGTCCACGCTGACTTCCCTCTACAGCTCCGCCTCTGGGGCACTGAACCCGAGCAGGCTGTCTGTGAGCCTTTCTTCCCCCAAGCACAAATACAGGGGTTGAGCCTGAAGATTTGGGGCACTGCCATTTTTCCTGTTGAACAGAGGTGAACGTGAGGCAGGGGAAGTGCCCGCCTGGCCGTCCGGCTGGCACCGAGCTGGGCCACTTCCCGGGTGCGTGCGAAGGTACTAACCACGGCCACGTTTCACAGCAGATCCACACTCGGCCTCTGCCAGGGCCTGAGCTATGACACAGGCAGAGCTTGCGGTGTGACCTGGAAGACCCCTCCTCCGTGCTCCGCCTGTTCCTGGGGCAGTGAAGGCAGTGGGTGGACCGGTGGCTTTCTCCTAGCAATGCAGGACTCCAAGCTGATGCCTTCTGAACCTAAGCCCGAGACTGGACCTTTACCATGTACTAATAAAACCTGGACCTTTACCATGTGCTAATAAACCCCCTGCAGGGAATGAGTGTTGTCTCTGTTTCTTAAGTCAAAAAATCAACTTTCACCTGAAGATTAGAGGAGCCTGGGGGGGGGGGGGTGTACCCCTCCCTGCTTAGATGCAGCCTAGGCCAGGATATTTGAGTGTTGAATGACTGATTGAACGAGGGCACACATATCCAAGATCTTGGGGTGCTCTGTTGAACTCCTGTCCATCCTGCAGAGCTCAGCCCAGCCATCTCTGCCTCTGTGAAAACTGCCCTAATCCCTCAGGTAGGGGCCGCGTGTGCCAGGGCTCTGCCTGTTTTCCAGGTGCTAGGAACACCTGAATGACTGAGACGGGGCAGGTGTCTGGTACAGCAGGTAAGTCGCTGCTCGGAAGGCCCACATCC